TTATCTTGATATTTGGACACAATTCATTATTTTCATTAGGCAAGTTGTTCAAAAGTGGGATATGTAGAACTCATTATTTAACTATCTACCTAATATTTAGATTTCTTCATTTCTTTACCATCCTGGGTTAATTGTTTTGGTAATATCTTGTCTCATAAAGAATTCTGGAGAACCTGAAAGCTTATACCCTGTTTTGTGACATTTTGCTTGGTCTTAATTAAGATATGCCTAATTATGGATTTAAAATTAAGCGTACAGCTAAATTCAAGCTGATGCTATTACCATGTTGGTTCTCATTGGATTTGTTAAATATCTGTCTTTGAAAAATCTATTTATATCAATATTCTTTCAAAACATTGTCTTACTATATAGTGACATCTGGAGCTTTTTGCTATGATGTAATCTTGGATAGCAAGCTTGATGCATGGAAGCCAACTGAGGTAAGCATCAAACTGGTTTTATAATTTTCAGAAATAGATTGATCTATCCACCTAGAATGATAGAGACATTACTGGATTCTGTTCTGGATTCAGATCTTAATCCAGATAATATTAAGTATATAAAATATTAAGTGTGTAAAACCTAGTCTGGTTGTATTTTCATTATTGCTAATATTGATTGTAAGTCATGTAGGGAGATACAAGGATGCAGGTTAGTTTTAAGTACAATTTTGCCTTAATATAAGGTAAAGCCTTTTGTACAGTATGGTCTACTAAAATATATACTGTAAATTAGATTTGGATAATCTCACAAGCTTACCCCTTTATTCCTCAAATATTTGCTATAATCAGTTGATTACTAAAATTGTTAATTCAGTAAACTTCCTTCTGTACTGCTTTGGAGGTTAAACAATAGGAACCCTATGTGGATAGGTCTAAATTAATTAAGCCAAATAATTTTCCAGTCTGCTGGGCAGATGGAGGATATTAAGCATTTCAGCTGAGATGAAAGTAGGAATACTAAATATTAAACATGTTCTGGCTTTTCATACTTACTATATTCTGCTGTACTCCTGCAGAGACAGAGCTAACCTAATTAGCTTCACCTTGAAAAGTCCCCAGGATAATGATTAAACATTACAGGCCAAGAATTTAAGCTACCTGAATTATTTGAATCCCTGATTTATCTGTCAGCCTGTGTGATCTCAGTATGTTTTTCTTGTTTTTTAAGGAAAATCTCCGTTCTCTTACAAGAGATGCATGCAGACTAATTCAGAAAGATTTGCCGTTTGAAATGCTGGATGTTGATGCAAAAGTGGCACTTGAAATATTTGAGTATAACAAGTCAGTATTAACATATATGTCAGAGTTAAAATGTCATTCAGGAAAGATGTGTGTCTGTGTGTGCGCGCGCACAGGTGTATAACCTGAAATCATTGTTTAATTTCAGAAGATTTATAATGTGCTTTGAGATTTAAAAATAAACAGCTCCTTATTCATTTACATGTCTACCAGTAGGTGGCATTAAAGTATGCTACTGATATTGAAGGGAATATGGCTGAACTATGCATAAGTCTTGTTGAAACAAGTAGCCATATATTGCAGCTGTACTTAATGTATGTTGTATATTCTTTATTGTGTAATAGATAATGCACATCATTCTATTTTGAAGAGTCATAACAAGAATGAATAACATGGAATGTGTTGTCTGTGGGTGGAAATGCATTGACATTTATCCTATGAGATATTTTGAAGTTTTAGGAACAGCCCCATTAGAAGCAATTCTAGCAAAAGGTAATAAAGGCCTGGTGCGATATAAAAGGGAAGAACTTTTCTCAGTTTCTGAAATGAATGTTTTATGGGAGAGGAAAGAAGGAAAAATTATTCCTTAGCCCAGTGTTACTAGAATTGGTAAGTAGAAAGGAAAAATTATATATGATCAAAAGATGAAGTAGCATGGATATACTTTTCTAGCTGAATTTACCATTATTTTACAGTATATACCATCTGAAATTTAGTTATGGGTCTCTTTCTTTGTATTTTAGGTACAAACAGGATATGGTTGAACAGAGAGCTTCCCAAAATTCCAAAGGAATAGTAACAGTGCACAGGTGAGCAAAGCACAAGACAGCCTTGTTTTTATAGCTAGAATTCTTTATCTTTATGAGCTTCTTCTAACTGAACCATAAGTAATATATTATTATAGTCATGGGGAGAGTAAATGAAGAGGTAAGGATCTAATCAATGTTTTAAGGCTTCAGATGAGAAGGAAGTTATGTCTTCAGTCTTTCTGTCTCTCTCTCTTTAAATTTATGTGAATTAACAGACTAGCCATTCCTGATGCACAAGGGTTTATGATTTATCAGCAATTTATCTTGCATTAAAATTAAATGAAAATGTAAAAAAATACATTATATTCAGTGACCCAATCCTTTTGGAGCTCATAGGATTATCCTTTGTGAATAGGGCAAATATTTTACAAGTTTCAGATGATAAATAAGCCCCCAATCCTTTGTACTGGAAGCTTCCTCTTGAAAATTGTATGGTGTGAAAGAGCTCTTTATTCAAGGGTGTGTCTAATTGCTGATGTTCTTTTTATTATATTTTTACTCTATTTACTCTATACTCTATTTACTATATTTTACTGTGTTACTATTTTACTGTATTGGCATGTGCATCACAGTGTAGCATTGGTCTGTTTTCTCAGTAGACAAGTCTGCCACCACCCACAAGCTGTAGTAGATTTTAGAAATTATGGTGGTTAACTGGCATTAAAAGGCTTTACTTTAGCACCTCTAGATGGCAAAATATGCAGCAAAAATCAAAAGTTATAGGTTTAGTGTTGCATTATATTTTCAGCCAGAGAAAAATTCATTTTAAATCCTTAAGGTAGTCATCCCAGAAGCTTTCAGTTCTGTCAGAACAGTAGGCATTTAGGCCATGATTCCAAGCCATATTTGTGCAAAAATCCAAATACGAAGGGCACATTTAAGAAACTTAGTCTATTCTCCAATTATCTATCCAGTTTCACTTGAACACATACAGTGAATGGAAGTTTACCGCCCCACTGAATAATAATAGATGCATTTTTTTCAAACTATTACTAACACATTTTGGGATGATTAAGCTTTCTTTGTTTTGCTTTCAACCAGATTTGGTGATTTTGTAGACATTAGTGAAGGGCCTCATATTTCCAGAACTAGCTTGTGTGATCAGTATGAAATAACAGCGGCTCATAATCTTCAAGGCAGCCAGTCTGCATTTAGAAGAAGATTCCAAGGTCTCTCTATTCCATGTCATTTAAAGGTTGGTAATCTATTTATTTACTAGTATTTTTGTTTAGGATAAGGAAGAGAATATAGACTTAGAGTGATATGCAGCAAATATCCTTCATATCCCTTGTCCTAAGCACATTAATGTCACTCATGAGGCAGGAGAAAATCTTTTCCCCCTTTTTAACTCCTGGGGAATTTTGGAGATCTCTTTTAAAGAGTAAAATAAGTACATTAAGCTTTTTGGAAAATTAACAAAGTTTTTGTCATTTCTTTGAAAAGAGTGGAAAACCACATGTTTGTGAATTGGCAGTGCAATACCAAAGAGCTTTAGGGGCCATAAAACGGAACATGGGTTTTGGGTTGTGGACTAATTTCTCCTGCACAACCAGCAGCGGCAATTGATGTAAGAATTACCAGGAAAGGTAATTCCTACATTTGGTTTTATTTATTTTAGAACATTTTTATTATACTCTTCTGCTCCCAGATCATTTTACAGATTAAAAAAATGGTCACTGTTCCATGGCTTAGAATCTAAAAAGAGACAGAAAAAAGAGGAACGGGGAATTGGAAGCCTTCTTTTGCTGCTCTTTTACTATAGAAATAAATAGTACAAAGCCAGCATCTTAGGAACTCAATTCTGGTGGAAGAGATTCATCAAAACTTTTCATGTTACAGTACTGTAGTTTCTGTTTAGAAAGTAAAATTGTAACATTCCTTCTCCCCAAAAGGTTTCATCTGCTTGATATATTTGTAGAAAGAAACATCTTCCAGATGGGACATTAAATTTTAATAGCACACATGCACACATCCTGCTGGTGTGTGGATCCCAAAATAGGATCCCAAAATAATGGAATACAATGTTTATTTTTAAGAAATACAACTGGATTTTCCTTCTTTAAATCTTGAGAGATTTTAAATAGGAAGGCGAAAAACTTGTGAAGTGTGGTTATTTGGTCATCTCATGAGATTTTGTCCATAATGTGCACGTGCATACACACAGACACACACACAAAACCATTGATGTTTCATTGCAAAATAACAACACTTTATTAAGTGTTGCCTGCCTCTGTTTTATTACAGCTTTATCACACTATATGGCACAGGTTGCAGAAAAGATCACAGAAACTAGTAAGTTTAAACCTCAACAAATAATCACTACATTTGCGTGACTTGTTTTTCTGAAAACTAGGAAGAAACACAACCCTGTAATAGAAATGTAATATAAAATATCAAGATTTCAGATAAAAATGTATTAGATGTCATTACCAGTTAGTTTTGTTCTGATACTCTAGATTTTTTCCCTAGTACTACATACCACTGAAGAAGAACATTTCATAAGGTGTTCATAATATGTAAGGGATAAAATTATTTTTACTTTCCAGGGATTGGAAGGAATGACAGTAGCACTATTCTGCAAATTTTATTATTTCAGAATAATATTGATCTGCTTTTTAGATTGCAGGATGTAGAATAGTGGCATGACATTCATACTTTTTTTTTTTTGATATTGCAAATATCCATGAATATTTTTGTTGCCATTTTCCTGTTTATAAAAGCAGAGGAACAGAGATCTATTATTTCCCAATTGCCACTGAGTTTTGGGAGGTTCTTTGCTTTTGTTTTAGTGAAAGTTACTGAGATTCCTGTCTCAGGATGGCAAAAAATGTAATGCTAGTCTTTGATAAATGTGGCCAAAAGCAGCTCTGAGGGCTGCACGTAAGTGATTTAAATATTGCTAGGAGCCTTGAAGCCTTAGTTTGCCCATGGGTGGAATAGGGAGAATACTGAATTGTGACTGATTTCTGATTTGATTGTATAAAAGTAGTAGGTAGAATTGGGCTTAAGAATCATGGCATTGTCAATCTAATATCAGATAATTTGAACTATTGCTAAATGGTTAAAATTTCAAGTTTTAATATTTCTTTCCTTTTTATAGATATATTTTCTAAATATTTTATAGACATACTTTCTAAATATTCAGCACTACCTTGTATATTAGTGCATCTGTTTACACTACCTTGTATATTAGTGCATCTAGTTATACAAACTAGAAGATCTAGTTTGTATAACTCTAAAGCATCTCTGGGTCCTCTTTCTTTCCTAGCCACTCTGAAAGTTAAACTAAATTACATTCCATGTGTGTTTTATCAGTAGTATTTTTTCTGAAGCAAAAGTTAATGAGGAGTGAATTATATTTTCCCCAAGGGGTTTAAACGCACCACAGTGTTGTCATTTCTGCCCGGATTTTGCAATTTATTTATGAAGTTCTCATTGAGAAAATCAAAGTGTGGCTGCTAACATACAGGGTGATCAGTATGAGCAGCAAACAAGGGAGAGGAATTAGAATGGATTTGTGGATTGGGAAAATGGTATATGAAAGTTCAAATTTTGCCTCAAGTATTTTTCATGTTTTACAGATCAGTGAAAACAGACTGAAAGAAGCAAACGACGGAAATGAAATTACAAATATTGAACCAGTCTGACCCTTTCTAATCTGTATGTGTGGAAATACTATGAATTAAATTGAGATTGTTTTAAAGTACAGATTCATTATTCAGATCAATTCCTTGAAAAGTACTTTGAGAGAAGGTTTTCATAGACTCACAGAACATCAACCCTTGGTCTGTCAGATTAGAATTTAAATGTAAAGGCAATGAAAAAGTCATCCTGGGCACAGAGAGAACCGCTCCTATCTGTGCTCCTGCCCTCTGAAGATGCTGGTCATAGATGCTGGCGAAACGTTAGGAACCAAAACTTCCAGAACACGGCCACACAGCCCGGAAGACCCACATCAGCCACCGCAGTAAAAAAATGTTACATATCTAGGGGTGTGTTAGAGTATTCAAAAGCATTCACAGCCTGTTGCAGAATGAATAGAGAGAAATGAGTTCAAATCTTGATCCTGGCACACGTTGAGTTTTCCTCACAGCTTTAATACCTCTAAAGTTCACAGTTAATGAATATGAACAATAAACCTGCACAAATCACTCCCATTCAGTTTGAATGGGAAATTTGAAGAGGGCGTGATTGAATTTGAGTTTGCAATTTGAGATTTGGAGGCAAATCAGTTTGAGCCACTTGAATAATTGGGATTGAGATTAGAAAAAAAGATTCGTCCATAAGCTATAAGGGGAAAGCATTAAAATACCTGCAGATGTTTATTGTTGGCAGAATGAGATGAAAATAACAAGCACGGTAGACTCTTTAACCCTGCCAGGTTTCAGCTGGATGTTACAATATATTTTTGAAATATTATTCTTGTACCTCTTTTAAGGCAGAGAGAGCTTCACTTACGCTTAGTGAACCAATGCAGCATGTGCCCCACTCCATTTTAAAAACAAACACTTTCAGAAAATATTTTAAGGTAAATGCTTACTTTCTCACTTGTTTTCTAGGGTACCAAGCCTTGCCCAGGACACTAAAAAAATGCCTTGCTGTTTCTATGTCTGGATATCCCAGGGGTGCTAGGAAAATAGATATAGCAGGTTCACCTTCTTGCTGCTTTCTGGGAAGGACCCATTCCTCCCTGGCAGGACTTAGTTGTGTCAGAGTTGTGGCTTGTTGACAACAGTTACCAGAGGCAGCTGGCAGTGATAATCAGAGTTGTTAACAAAGTAGTAGAACTCATAGGCTGGCTACTGATGCCTGTGTCAGAGAGTTCATTGCGCTACTCCACCACTATCCCTGAGTTTTCCATCTATAACAAGAAAGAGGCAATGCTATGTATCATCAGTAACAACTTCAGTAGGAGCAAAAAGGCTTTATAGAATCTGTGAAGTGTTTCACAGTGCTAATAAAGTGCTTCACAGCCATCTAATTTGATTTTCTGCTTCAGAAAATCAGGCTGTCAGTGAGATACAATTCTATAGAGATAGGCAGTCCAGAAAGAAAGGCTGGCACAGAAAAAGTTGTTTTAATATGCTGACAACCTTTATTAAAATCAATAAAAGTTTGGACATCTGTATTACCGTGGTCCCCTTTCAGTTCTTATCAAGAATTAAATTTGTCCAAATGACACAGAATGTAAACATCTTAACTCAAAGTTAAGTCTTCAAGCTGACCACATTAAAGAAGCTAAGTGCCAAGAAAGTGAATAAAGTCCGAAACAGTTTTTCCTTGCCAGTTCAAAAGAACTCTGATAATCAGAGTTGTTAACAAAGTAGTAGAACTCATAGGCTGGCTACTGATGCCTGTGTCAGAGAGTTCATTGCGCTACTCCACCACTATCCCTGAGTTTTCCATCTATAACAAGAAAGGCAACGCTATGTAACATCAGTAACAACTTCAGTAGGAGCAAAAAGGGTTTATAGAATCTGTGAAGTGTTTCACAGTGCTAATAAAGTGCTTCACAGCCATCTAATTTGATTTTCTGCTTCAAAGTGGTCCCCTGCTTTGATTTATGAATGTGCTTTGATGTGATTGTTTGACTGAAATTTCATCTAAAAACCAAAGCTTTGGACAGCACTAATGAGCAGACTTCCTTAGTCTAATGCTCTCAGATGTGCTGAACACTGCATTGCCAAACTTTGCAGCCTGCAAGATTCTACTGGCTGTGAATTCCAGGGATTGCAGTCTAAATATTTGGAAGGTTAAAGTTGGGAAAAGTTGTTATAAGCTGGATACTAGAGCAATGCTTCACAAATAGCATGATCAGATCTAATTTACTTTGTGTTATATTACAATGCTCAAATTGACATTTGTATACTGGTAAGTACTGATACTATTTCAGTATGGCTATGGACATATGTTCTAGAAACATGATATTGAAAAAAGTTTATTTCAGTGTTTTAAATAAAACTGTTGGTAAATAGAGCTATAGAGCTGTAATTCATCAGTCAGGAATGTGCATTAGTTTATCCCACTTTGTATATAGGCCTGGCCTTTACCTTCTTTTCTGCCTGTTAATATTTGGTCTTTTTAGTAGGGTGCCCACTTGAAAAGAGGTCATAATGCAGTCCCTAGTACAGAAAGAGCAGCCTGAATTATCAGTATTAATCCTTAATCCTTGGAAATATCATGGAGCCAAATCAAATTTCTGTCCTTTACTTTGAAGAATTGATGCCAGTCATAGTTTTTAACCACATAGCCCTACACTTCTATACATGTGTGGATTGCAGATACTAAGGCTCTTCTCTGTGCAGGCAAAGGCTTATATAAGTGTATTAGTTTATCCCACTTTGTATATAGACCTGGCCTTTATGTATGGAACTATGATGTATGATGTATGTATGTAACTTTATGTATGATGGAACTAATCTACTCTTATGATAGTTACATTTGAAGCATCTTTATTGAATCTGTGCAATCTCTGATCCACTATCTGCAGTACCTGAAGTTTTCTTTATTCTCTAATTGGAATAGTAGAACTTTGATGCTTCTGAGACTCAGACCGTGGGAAGTGAGTCAAGTGATATAAGGTTTCTGGAAACATTGAAACAGTAAAAGGAGAAAAAGTGGTTCTGCAATAGGATAGGTGGGAGTATGGAAATTTTGAAATGTGCAACATTTTAAAAGGGAAATTAAACTTCTCTGCTTTAAGAAAATGAAATGCATTTGATGTTCTTGAAAACTAAGACCATAACATGTTTATTTCTCAGGTGTTTGAGAGCTGGAGATTGTGAATTATCAACATGGTGGCCTTCATATATTTTTAACTACAAATTATATGAGCTATTATCCAGGTGGCCATGGATACACATAATTGGAGCTGTGGTCCAAAATTCTCACTAGTAGATGGAAATTTCAACTTTGAGCTTCAGAAACTTTCTCTACGAGCTACAGTGCCCTTATGTTCACATTCAATAGTGGTACATACCCAAAGTATAGTCTGTGATGTGGAATATTTTAACCTGATTTTTTTTCTTTTTTGGCTTTAGAAAATTAATTTACTAACATGTTACTTATAATATTTGTTGTGGTTTGCTGGTATTAACATGGATGGGTTTTGACATCACAGAAAAAGTTGTAATGTATCACCTGTGCTTGTCAGTTGTCTTCATAAAAATGTATTGATAAAGTGGTTTATTTTTGTTGGAAGAAAACGAATGCATGCTAGCAAATTGGTAAATGAAACTATTTCCTTTATTTTTTAATTCCCTTTGTTTTCTTCTCACCAGCAGCAAGTGTTTTCCATATTATTTCTAGAAAGAAGCACCACACCCTATTAATGCTAACATGTAGGAGTTGATCAGAGATAAAACACCTATCACAATTAGCATTAACAGTGTATGGCCTGAAGATTTAATGTAATCCATAAAGGTGAAACCTCTGGACAGTTTTCTTTGATTTACCTATAATATAAAAGCAACAATGAATTTAAGGCAATACATAGAGTGCATAGGAAAGAAGAAATCAAGTAGTGTAACTTTTTAAAGGTTTATAAATATTGATTAATATTATATTTTGCCAATAGATTCATCTTCTCAACAATTACCTGGTTTCTTTTATCAAGTTTGGTATATATACGTTATAAATATTTAAATTGGATTAAAAAAAATAAATTTGGTATTACAAGTAGAATTGTACATGTGAATTGAAAAAATATTTTAATTGTGTTAAAGATCTGAAGAGGAGCCAGTTTGGCATAGTGGTTAAGTCATCAGGCTACAGACTGTATTCTAGTCCCCCCTTAAGCATGAAGCCAGGTGAGTGACCTTGGGCCAGTCACCTTCTCTCAGCTGTAGGAAGCAGACAATGACAAACCACTTCTGAAATGTTGCCAAGAAAACTGCAGGGACTTGTCCAGGCAGTCACCAGTTGTCAATACTGACTCAAAGGCACAAAAAGATAAAAAAAATAAAAATCTGAAGATGCAATTCTGTACATACTTACCTGAGAATATGCCTTATTGAATTAATTGAGGTTCATTTCTGAGAACACTGCATTGTGAATAAAATTACTAAAGTCAGTAGAAAAATGCACTCTTAATCGTTTTAATTTAAAGAATTGAAACAATCACAAATCCTACTTAAATGAATAAATATTAAAAATACAGTATCAATCTGTGTAATAACATTGTAAAGATATTTGTCCTGGAATGTAGATATTTTCAATATTAAAAGTTATTTGGTCTATTTGATCTTCTTTTAAGGAGATCTAAGGAAATCAGAAGAGTGTAGACTAGTACTGCTCTCTGCAATAAGCTAAGCTAAGGGTAGTGATTTGTTTAAGATTGCGTTATGAGTTTTATGGTTGTATGAAAATTGGAAATTGGATTTCCCATGTCCAAATTCAAGAGTATTACATCATATTATTATGATACTTTTCTTGGCTGCCATATATATTTATTTTTGTGTTGTTTTTATTGTTTTAGAGTTGTTCGCCACCCAGAGTCACTTGGTTGAGATGGATTTATAGAAAATAAATAAATAAATAAGCAAGCAAGCAAGCGAGCATGCTGTTTTGTAGATTGCCGTGAAAATGAAACACAGTGATCTTACAGCCTAAAGAGATTTGACCTTTCTTTCTCCCTTAGCACCAACTTCTTGTATTTGAGAAGCAGCTTCTGGTGGTTCTGTAGAGCAGGCTTTTTATGGATACTTGGC